AAAGAGACACTGTGATAAGAAGATGCATAAACAGCTTTATAAAATAAAGGCAATCAATCACCAGATGAAAGGTAGTTATGAATTCTGCACATCACAGCAATCAGATTAATATTTAGGCACTTACTGATGTACAGTACATGTCCTAACAGCTGTGAACAGCCTGTAAACTTGATCTGTGCTTTGATCAGATTTACTGATATGTGCTGAATAAGCATATAAAAAGTAAAAAAAAAAAGTGGGGAGGTGGGGAGGGGGATTGCCCAGAGTGCTGGTAAATATAGCAACAGAATGTTTCTTCTTGGTGGGAAAATGTAAAAAAATTATTCTCGGCTCAGGTTGCAGCGTGCTGAATTACAAATCGTACCTGTCGGTGTTTTGCATTGAGAAGCAGAAGGAAAGTGTTTAATGCAAATGAGCACGTTGCTTTTCTTCTGCAGGATCACCACAATCAGCAAACTGGACTTGTGCACAAATACGGTAAGTTTTGTTGTGATTTATGAAGAGACTAAAATTAAAGAACCTCATTTTAATTTAAAATACACCGTGTATGTGCACAGACTGTGATAAACCTATAAATTAAAACATTTTTTCTTGTTTTACCATGTTGTTTTGCTATCTAAATGGTTCTGTTCTCCAAATGATACAAGAACTCTTCTAAAGGCAAAAAACCATCAGTTTAAAAAGATAGTTTAGTGTGATTGTTGTTCGTGCACCTGTTCTGTTATTTGATCAGAGGTGTTGCCTTTCGGCTGAGCCTGAGTGAACCAAGTTAAAACTGTTTCAACAGGAGATAAAACTGATCACCTCCTGGATCTCGCAGCTCCGCCCATCGCTCCTCTAATGAACCCCCAACACCGACCAGAACTTACTGGGTTGAGATCGATTTAAACCAGAGATGTGGTCAAACTGAACAAGGATGCAAATGTCCGATGATTTGTTTTCATCAAGTTTGATGTCGTGTAACATAAATGTCAAAATCTGCTCGTTTTTGTCCATTTGAGATCATCACAATGTTTTATTTTACATTTACAGGAACCCTAAACCTCAAGTAGAACCAAACCTGTAAAATGATTTCCAGTTTTGACAGAAAGTCATTTTGTGGCCTTGCATCAACTTACAACCGTCGTTTAGTGTTGATGCACCTGGAACTCTTTTTCAAATCCTAACTTGAAAAGAGCAACCTGACCAAGGTTTGAAAACTTGCAGCTTGAACTAAGAAAAGCTTATCGGATGAGGAAAAAAAAGAAAAAAAAATCCAGTTGCTCTTTATTTTTTAAATATGTAATGCCATGAATGACCGGGCTGCCCCTCGCACTGTGACTGCTGGAAATGGGCACCAGTGACCCACGCGACCCTGAAAGGAAGAAGCG